ACTGCCCGGCTCTTAATGCCGAACTGTGTCCCCCCCCCCCAATGCTCCTACTGTGCGCTATGGTTAGACGACCCCGGCCCTGGGAGCCCCACATTGCTGCGGGGGGGGCGGGGGTGGAACGCGGGATGGCGCCCAGAGAGAGGGATGGCTGACCTGGATCGGTCGCAGGGCACGTGATCTGCGGGGGTGAGTGACTGCGGACACCTTTCTGTGAACAGACCGGGGACCCCACACTGATGGGTGGGACACTCCCCACCCCCCAGCCTCCGAGGTGGCCCACGGACAAGGCGCACGGGGCCGTGCGCCCTCCCTTTGCGAGCACTGCAAGCTGCTTCTCAAGCTGGTTTCCCTTTTTCTAGCACTCTTGCCTCCTGCAGCTCTTTGGACCTAGGGAGAGGGAGATCTCCATCTTATCAGATTAGCGGGAGCTCTAGGCAGCTGCGTGAAGATGCTAGTCACGGGTTGGCCCAGTTCCAGGTGCCAGAACCAAATTGCGCTAGTACCTCCGCCCTGCCTTCCCACTGGGCTGTCTGTCCAGGCCTCGCCTGTCCGTCTAGCCTTGCCATTTTCCAAGGCCGCCTCTGGAAGCGAGTTGGGCTGATGAGCCCACCAGGAGAGAATGGCCACTCCGTGCTCTGTAAATGTTCCTCTCCTTTCTTTGCCGGCTCTGGCCAAGGTCTCCGACGCCACCGCCCACACCTTCCTTCCTAGTGCGTGCATGCAGCCCATCTTCCCCAATGTGCTTTCATTGTTTAGCAGTGGTTGCCTTCCCATTTTCCTTTGCCTCTGTCCGCTTCAGTTCACCTGACCCTGCTGTCTTTATCCTCTCAATTGTATCGGGAGAGAAGCCTGTAGAAAAATCAGTGAATATAGAGATTGCTAAAAAGACCCCAGTGTGCTGCATTGAATCAAAATCTAAAACTATGAACTTAAGACTCACCATACCCTCTCTCAATAAAAGGGGCCTAGGTGTTCTCGAAGCTGGACATGCAGCTCCAGAGTAAACACATACCAGGCCCTGCGTTCCCTAGCTCTTAAGCGACAGCTTTCCTGACCTCTAAACGGGCAAAATCTAGTCTACACATTTCATGAACAGGAAAACGAAGGGTTCCATGAATAGCAGGGTCCCTAAACCCAGGCTCCTTTCAGGTTGGAAGAGGAATGGGGACAGAGGCATGGCCTCTCTTCCCAGGACTCAAGTCTGAAGCAGACCAAGAGTCACTCCTATGCATGAGCTTTCCTTTGGCTGGTCCCCAGCAATGTCAGCTCCTGAGCAGCTTCCTGGGACTTTCTTAGTCGGGAAAAGTATACTGGGCATGTTGATACACACCTGTAATTCCAGCACAGAGGCAGCCGAGGCAAGAGGATTTCAAGTTATAGGCCAAGAGTGAGACCTGGTGCATTAATAGTTAAATAAAAAAAAAAGGGGGGGGGAGTCATTTTGCACCAACTTAAAGATTCCTTTTACTTTGCTGGGTCTGGTGGCACGTGTCTGTCTCAGCATTAGGGTGGTAGAGTCAGGAGGATGCCTTTAATTACAAGGTCAGTCTGAGCTGCTCAGTAACAGAACAGTTAAGGGTTATGTAGCAGATTCTGTCTCAAAAAACCGAGGGGGAGGAGGGCTGCTTAGGGAACAAGATGACTCAGTGGCTAAAAACATTTGTCCTTGTCCTGCAGGCTTCATAGCCTAGACCTGAATTTGATCCTCAGATCCCATGGTGAAAGGAGAGAACTTGCTCCTGAAATTGTCCTCTGACCTCTGTGTGTGCACAGAGGTGCCAGTGTACCCCCCCCCACACACACACACGTGCTTTTTTTATTTGGGGGGTTTTTTGAGGCTGGGTTTTTCTCTGTAGTCCTGGCATCCTGGAACTTGCTCTGTAGACCAGGCTGGCCTTGAACTCAGAGATTCACCTGCTGCTGCCTCTTGAGTGCTTAGATCAAAGGTGTGCCCCCCCCCCCCCCCTGCCCCAATTTTTTTTTTTTTTTTTCAGTTTTTCGAGACAGGGTTTCTCTGTGTAGCTTTGGAGCCTGTCCTGGCACTTGCTCTGGAGACCAGGCTGACCTCGAACTCACAGAGATCAGCCTGCCTCTGCCTCCCGAGTGCTGGGATTAAAGACGTGCATCACCATCACCAACGCCCGGCTCAAGTATCTTATATACATGATAAATACTCTTTTTTTTCCTTGGGGCAGGGGATGTCAGAAAATAACATCTCTATTGCCCGGTAGTTGTAGTGCACAGCTTTAATCCCAGCACTAAAGAGGCAGAGGCAGGCAGATCTCTGTGAGTTCATAGGCCACAGTCTGGTCTACAGATTGAGTTCCAGGCCAGGCTCCAAAGCCACACAGATAAACCATGTCTACAAAAACAAACAAACAAACAAAATAGTATCTTTCTATGTAGCCTTGCAGGAACTCAATTTGTAGACCTGGCTGGCCTCTTTTAAATGCCCTGGAGGGGCTAGAGAAATGGCTCAGCAGTTAAGTAAGCACTGGCTGTTCTTCCAGAGTACCAGGGTTCAATTCCCAGCATCCACATGGCAGCTCACACCTGTCTGTAAGTCCAAGATCTGACACCCTTTCACAGGCAAAATACCAATGCAAATGAAATAAAAATAAATTATAAAAAAATAAAAGTAAAAAGTGGCCTATGAAGGTGACGCACACCTTCAGTCCCAGCACTGGAGAGGCAGAGGCAGGAGGGTCTCTGTGAGTTCGAGGCCTGCTTGGTCTACAGAGCGAGATAGGCTCCAAAGCTACAGAAAGGCTGTATGTGTGTGTGTGTGTGGGGGGGGGTCTTGAGCCAGGCAGTAGTGGTACACACCTTAAATCCCAGCACTTGAATGGTTGAGACAGGCGGATCTTGTGAGTGTCGTCTATGGAGTGAGTTTCCAGGATAGCCAGGGCTACACAGAGAAACCCTGTCTCGAAAAACCAAAAAAAAAAAAAAAAAAAAAAAAAAAAAGTGGCCTGTGGGCTGGAGAGATGGCTCAGCAGTTAAGAGCACTGGCTGCTCTTCCATAGAACCCAAGTTCCATTCCTAGCATCCCAGCGCTTGACCACCTGTAACTCCAGCTCCAGGGGATCCAAAGCATCTGACTCCACAGGTACCTGAACTCAACTGCACACACACCCTGCCACACACACACACACACACACACACACACACATACACACCACATACCACTCATACACACACACACATATACCACATACTACTCACACACACACACACACACCACACATACACAATTTAAAAATGTTATTTTTTAATAATTTATTTTAATTTTATGTGCACTGGTGTTTTCCTTGCAGGTATGTTCATGTGAGGGATCCAGATCCCCTAGAAAGGAGTTATAAGACATTTATGAGCTGCCATGTGGGTGCTGAGAATTGAGCCCAGAACCTCTGAAAAAGCAGCCAGTGCTCCTTAACCACTGAGCCATTTCTCCCACCCCTAACAAATTATTATTATTGTTATTATTATTATCGTTTGTTTTTTTTTGAGACAGGGTTTCTCTGTGTAGCTTTGGAGCCTGACCTGGCACTCACTCTGTAGCACAGGCTGGCCTCGAACTCACAGAGATCTGCCTGCCTCTGCCTCCCAAGTGCTGCATTTAAAGGTGTGCACCACCACTGCCTGGCTCCCAATAAATTATTTTTTTTAAGGTGAGATCTCTCAGTAAGTAAAGGTGTTTGCGGTGTAAATGGGATGATCTGAGTCCCAGAACCCACATAAGGAGAGAATTGACTTCACAAAGTTGTCATCTGGCCTTCAGTGTGCCATGGCATGCACCCACCCACACACATAATAATAAAATTAATTTTTAAAATTTTCTTTGAAAAGGCCCCTAGCAGTTGGGACCAGGACCTGTCCCTGATGCATGAGCTGGCTCTTTGAAACCTACTCCCTATGGTGGGATGCCTTGTTCAGCCTTGATGCAGGGGGAGGAGGTTGGTCCTGTCTCAAGGTGAGACCAGTGTGTGTTGGGGGGGGCTCGGAGAGCAGTAGAAGGGAAGGGAAACTGATTTGAACGTAAAATAAGTTTTAAAATGATGAAAAAATTCACTTTAAAAAATTGTTCTGGGAAAAAACCAAATTGTTCCGGGTAGTGGTGTTGCACACCTTTAATCCCAGCGCTCTGAAAGGCAGAGGTAGGCAGGTCTATGAGTTCAAGGCCAGCCTGGTCTACAAAGCGAGTTCCAGGACAGGCTCAAAGCTATACAGAGAAACCCTGTCTCAAAAAAAGGCTGGACCATGGTGGTGATGCACACCTTTAATCCCAGCAGAGGCAGGTGGATCTCTGTGAGTTTGAGGCCAGCCTGGTGTACAGAGTGAGTTCCAGAACAGCCAGGGCTACACAGAGAACCCTGTCTGGGAAAAAAAAAGAATGTGCTGGATGGTGGTGGTGCATGCTTTTAATCCCAGCCCTTGGGAGGCAGAAGCAGGTGGATCTATGAGTTGGAGGCCAGCTTGGTCTACAGAGCAAGTTCCAGGATGGTCAGGGCTACACAGAGAAACCCAATTTCAAAAAAAAAAAAAAAAACAAAAACAAAAAAACAGTGTTGTGGGTATGCTGAGAAGCCAAAGGCCTTTGGAGCTGGAGCCAGATTTGGGTGCTGGAAGTCAAACTCAGGGCCTATGGAGGATTGGTAAGCACTCTTAACTGCTGAGTCATTTCTCTAGCCCCCTAAAATAATAAAAAAGAAAAACAGAGGTGGTGACTGCCTTAAATCCAGCACTTAGGAGGTGAGCATGAGACCAGCTTGGGCTACAGGCCAGATATTATAGTAAGACCCTGTCTAGAAAATAATACTTCTAATTTAAAAGAAGGGAAGAAGGGCTGGAGAGAGAGCTCAGTAGTAGGATGCTTGCCTGGCATGTAACACAAATACAATTAAAAATTCCATTTCCCTCTGAGGAAGCAGCCTGGGAGACTTGTCTGTGTCGGGAAGCTCCACCCTCCCTCCACTAACTGACAGTCCCAGATTCCCATTAAAAGCCTAGCCTGAGGATACAAAGTGGTATATGTGGTAGGGGCGGGGCTCTGGCCCATAGCAGGCCTGGGATGAACCAGGGTGGCCTGGGGAGAGGGACAGGTTTAGGGCCTGTGGAGTCAGGTTAGTGCAGAGGTCTGCTTCCAGAAGAGAAAAGGCCAGGAGACTCCCAGTGACCTAGAAAGGAACCATAGCTCAGGAGCCCGTTTGGTTAGAACTCAAAGTGGCCCTGAGGCAGTGGCTAGGTTATAAAAGCTGCAGGTACCTACTGAATCCTAACCTGAGTGAGGAAGGCCATCAGAGACATCCTTAAACCCCCTAAGCCTCCAGGACCGTTGGTCCAAGCAGCAGCTGCCACTGCCACTGTTCCCATGATGGCGTTTATTCTTGATCAGGCCTCAGAAGCTGTTGGAAGGCGGCCAACTAAAACAGGTATTAACAGGTCACTACCTGCTGCAGCCGGGCCCATGCTTGTTTTCCTATGACTTGTAGGCAAAGACTTATTTTTGCAATTGTTAGTGAGCCAAGATAAAAAAAATCAGAAATATAAAATCAATCCCCCTCCCACTCCTCTTTGCCCTCACTCTCGCTGCCTGTCTTTTTCTTTCACTCTGATTGGTTTCTCAGTGTTGTCTAGGCTACTTCAGCTTCCAGAATGCTGGAACAAGCAAATGCCACCATGTCTGAGTTAAAGATGGTATTTTGATATGTGAGATCTGAATTTTAGTTTCTATAAAGTTTTGAGTGGCTTTTTAATTTTTTTCATTTATTTTTTACTTCTTTTGTGTATAGGTGCTTTGCCTGCCTATGTGCACTATGTTACACAGTACCCCTTGGGGCCAGAAGAGGGCACTGTTTCCCTAGACCTGAAGTTACAGATACTTGTGAGCCACACCCTGGGCTCTGGGAATTAAACCCCCATCTTCTGCAAGAGCAAGTGCTCTTAACTGCAGAGCCATCTCTCTAACTCCCCAAATGGAAATATTTTAAGGTTGGAATGTAGCTCAGCTGGTAGAGAGTGTTTGGCTGGCATGCAGGAAGACCTAGGCTGGATTCCCAGCACTGACTGAACCAGTCATGGTGGCTCATTCTTATAATCTCAGCACTTGCTAGATAGACTCAGAAAAATCAAAGTCTATGGTCATCCTTGTACTGCATAGTAGGTAGCCTGTCTGGTATGTGTGTGAAAGGGGGGGGGAGAAGGAGGGCGTGTGTGTGTGTGTGTGTGTGTGTGTGTACAAAGAAGTCTCAGGCTGGAGAGATGATTCAGCAGTTAATAGAGCTTGTTAGTCTTCCCGAGGAACTCAGTTTGGAGCTCACAGATTCCTGTCACTCACACATCAGGGGATCTGACACCCAGAAAATCAAATCATATCCTTTCTCTGTATTTATTTGCTGGCCTGGGGACTAAAGCAGAGTATCTCTCAAATGCTAAACCAGAGGGCTACCACTGGGCTTAAGCCCCAGCCCTTCTGAAAGTTTTGTACTTGTATGTACACCTGTGCGTGCAGCTACTCAAATCTATCCCTGCACAAAGGCAGTGGATCCCTCGGAGCTGGAGTTACACAGGTGGTTACGTGGGTGCTGGCATCCAGTGTGGTCCTGATGATTGTGTAGCAACCCATCTTAATGGTTGAGCCATCTTTGCCTGGGAATGCTGGCATACACCTTTAATCCCAACACTCAGGAGGCAGAAGTAGGATGATCTTTGTGAATTTGAGGCCGGTCTGGTCTACATAGCAAGTTCCAAGCTAGCCAGGTCTATAAGATTATGTGGTGAGATCCTGTTCACCACCGCCCCCCCCAAATAGTTGGAACATTTATAAATATTAATCATACTTTAGGTTATAGATAAAGTTTCAGCCAGCTGGTGGTGGCACATACCTTTAGCCCCAGGACTCAGAAGGCAAAAACAGGCAGATCTCTGAGTTCAAGGTCAGCCTGGTTTATAGAACAAGTTCCAGGACAGCCAGAGCTAGACAGGGAAACCCTGTCTGTCTTGAAAATTCAGAAATAAAATAAACGCTCAATTGAGTGTAAAAACTGGACATTATCCCAGCACTCCAGAAGCTGAGGCAGGAGGACACAGGATGTGGAAATGACTTGGCACTCAAGACTACTTGCTGCTCTTCCACAGAATCAAAAGGCAAAGAACCAAGTGAGTTCAGTTCCAGAACCATGTTGGGTGGCTCCTAACCACTTAAAAGTCCAGCTCCAGAGACACTTGGTGCCCTCCACTGGCATCACTGGACTCAATGAAGCTGGAGTTACAAGTAGTATCAATCACCCACGGTCGGTCCTGGGAACCGAACACAGGAGCAAGCAAGCACTTTTACCTGCTGTGTCATCTCTCCAGTCTTCCCGAGGAACTCAGTTTGGAGCTCACAGATTCCTGTCACTCACACATCAGGGGATCTGACACCCAGAAAATCAAATCATATCCTTTCTCTGTATTTATTTGCTCTCTCTCTGTTTTTTTTTTAAGATTTATTTATTATGTATACAGTGTTCTGTCTGCATGTATGCCTGCTGGCCAGAAGAGGGCACCAGATCTCATTACAGATGGTTGTGAGCCACCATGTGATTGCTGGGAATTGAACTCGGGCACCCCTGGAAGAGCAGTCAGTGCTCTTAACCTCTGAGCCATCTCTCCAGCCCCCGTGTGTTTGTTTTTCCAGACATGGTTTCTTGTGTAGTTTTGGAGTCTGTTTTTTTGTTGTTGTTGTTTGTTTGTTTTCGAGACAGGTTTTCTCTGTATGTTTTGGAGCCTGTCCTGTAACTCCCTCTGTAGATCAGGCCGGCCTGGAACTCACAGAGATCCACCTGCCTCTGCCTCCCAGGCACTGGGATTAAAGGCATGCACCACCACCGACTGGCCCAAATGAGACTCTTTACAGTGTTCTGCCTGCATGTTTGCCTACAGGCCAGAAGAAGGCACCAGATCTCATTGCAGATGGTTGTGAGCCACCATGTGGTTGCTGGGAATCGAACTCAGGACTTATGGAAGAGCAGCCAGTGCTCTTAACCTCTGAGCCATCTCTCCAGCCGGAATTAACCTCGTATAGAATGAGGTGAACAAATGAGAGTCTTAATATTTGTAAATTTCTCAGATAAGCTTGAGAAAATGAACTAGTCATTTGGTTAAGTCTATTAAATCAAGACAGCAAATAGGAAGGTGGAGAGATGGCTCAGGGGTTAAAACCATACACTGCTCTTGCAAAGGACTCAAAGTTTAGTCCCAGCACCCACATCAGGTAACTAACAACTATAACTAATGCTAACCCTATAACTCCAGCTCCAAGGGAATCTGACACCTTTGATATCACATACACATACTCACATAACACATACACATAATTAAGAAAAGTAAAAATAATACTATGGGGCTGGAGAAATAGCTCACTGGTTAAGAACACCAGCTGCTCTTTCAGAGGACATGGGTTCAATTCCTACCACTCACATGGGGCTCAGAACCGTTTGTAATCCAGTTCCAGGGTATCTGATGACAACGTCTCTGGCCTCTGTGGGCATCAGGTTAGTACCTGGTGAACTTACATACATGTAGGCAAAACACCACACATACTATGTATGTGTATGTCTTTAAAATGCAACATAGCTAGTTACGGGGATGCATGCTTGTGATCCCAGCAGGTAGGCAGGAGGATGAGATCTTCAAGGTCAGCCTCAGCTATATAGAGTGTTTGAAGCTAACCTTAGCTACGTAAGCCCCTATCTTGTGTGTGTGTGTGTGTGTGTGTGTGTGTGTGTGTGTGTGTGTCAGGGAGGCCAAGTGCATGCACAATATCCTAGGGTTCTACCCCAGCACTGCATAAGCTGGCATGGTCGCACAGAGCCTGTAATGTCAGCACTCAGGCGAAAATTCAAGATCACCGTCAGCTACATAGTGACTTTAAGGACAGTGTGGGCTATGTGACACTGTCTCAAAAAAGTAAAAACAAAACAAGAAAGGCAGTGTGTAGGAAATCTGCAGAACTGGGGTCTGCTTAGTCAGTGAAGGAGAGACAAAGGACCTGTGGGCTTTCTGGCTAGTCAGTCCAGCCTAAATGGTGAGCTACTGGCCATGGGGAGATGCTATGTCATGGGAGGTGGACAATTTTCCTGAGGACGCATCCCAGGTTGTCCTTTGGCCTCTGCATGCATGGCCACACAGGTGTACCACCCCTACATGAACACATACATGTATACACATATGCTCATTAAAAAGAAAACACGGTTGTCGAGGATGGTGGCACACACCTTTAATCCCAGCACTTGGGAGGCAGAGGCAGGCAGATCTCTGTGAGTTCGAGGCCAGCCTGGTCTACATAGTGAGTGCCAGGATAGGCTCCAAAGCTACAGAAAGGCTGTCTTGGGGGAGAGGGTGTCTTGAGCCAGGCAGTAGTGGTGCACACCTTAAATCCCAGCACTTGAGAGATTGAGACAGGCAGATCTTTTGAGTGTGGTCTATGGAGTGAGTTTCCAGGATAGCCAGGGCTACACAGAGAAATCCTTTCTCAAAAAACTTAAAAAAAAACTTGATTGCTGGCATAATCAAGAAAACTAACAACACATTTAGAAGACTTTTTAAAATTAGTGACTATGAATCCAGGTATGCTGGCACAAATCTGTAATACCAGCACCTGGGAGGCAGAAGCAGGCAGATCTTTGTAAACTTGAGGCTAGTTAAGCCTGCCTTACCTACAAAGGAAGTTTGGGCTTCCTAAGACACCGTCTCAACTAGAGATAGCAAAAGGAGGAACCAGAGGACAAAAGGGGAAAGAGGGAGGAGAGGTAGTGATCACACAAAACCCAGCCTGGAGGTCAAGGTTACAGGCAGGAAGGTCCACCAGCAAGAGAGAGAGAGGCTGAGACCTTTCTAAGAGACAAAAGGGTAGGGCTGAAGGCTGGGGGTGGTACATGCTTGTAATCCCAGCACCCAGGAAGTGGAAGCTGGAAGATCAGAGTTCCAAACCAGCCTGGGCTACATAGTGAGTTGCAGGCCAGCTTAAGCTACAACAGTGAAGTCATACCCTAAGCTACAGTAGTGAGTTCCAAGCTAGACTAAACTACATAGTGAAAGCCTGTGGGCTTGTGGAGTGGGAACTCCTGGGTTGGAGGGAGGCAACTGTGGGCACCAAGAGCCGCTGTCCAGCAGGCAGAGGACTATGTGGGAGAGATCCGGTCTGGCTTGAAGACCCAGGCCTCGTCAAGCTGACAGTTATGGGCAAGAACAGAATTGCTAAGGGTGGTATGGTGACAAAAGGGACATTTGCAACCTAGCCCATTCTCAAAATATAAATGGAAACCTCATTAACCTGACCTATTACCACACCATGACCGCCCATCTCTATTCCAGGGACCCAAGTCCCTAAGGTATGTGACTAGCCAGCCCAAAATAGTCATAGACCTGCCCCCTCTCCTACTGAGAAGTCCTCCCAAGCTTGACCTCCTCCAGTGCTCCCAACCCCTTCAAGGGACAGTGAACAGTACCATGAATGAAGTTTATGCTGGAGCTGACCGGTCAGGGTAGGGACCAGCTGGCACCACATGCATGACCTATTTAAGGTTCTGCCTGCCACCTGTCCCGCCCCAGGCACTTAACCCCCTTTCAGTACACAGGTCACAGCTGACTGGATTTCTGAGCCATCCGCTCTGCTCTGTGCCTGCCTCTACTCAGATATGGGACTGGGAGGGCTGCCACAGTGATCCTGGGTGGCAGAGACACTTGAACTCTCGCCTGGTGTGCTGACTGAGTTCAGTGTGCCAGGCTTGGGATCCTTGGGCATGTGGATGGGTGCTTCTAGTGTTCCAGAAAGTGGACGAGCCTTGTCTTCTTGTCCCTTTCTCTGAGAACTGCCATGCCTGCGTGTAGGGTGAGTAGATGATAGGGGCTTAGAGGATTTAGTAAGCTGCAGTTTACAGAATCTTTTCTTGTTCTTTGACCTGTCTGCTTTCATTTTCTACAGTAAAACAGGCAGAGCAGGAAATAGTCCCAATCTGTAGCTATTGGGAGGACTGTTAGACAGTGAGTGTACCTAAGTGTTGGGCAGAGGGACAAACTATTGCTGTCACTCAGCTCAGTGATTTTCCAGGTGTTACCCTCCCTGGTTTACAGAGACTCTGAGACACTAAGTACCTGGTTCAAGGTGACCTTGACACAAGGTGCAGTGGAGGTCCCACAGTCTGACTTTCCCAAATGCCTGAGTTCACAAGCAAGTGGGGAAGGTGCTCCCACTAAGTGACCTGTGACATCACCTACCTTTCTCAGCGTCAGCAGCCCCTCCCCCGACCCCAGCATACATCCTGCCCTCCGCGGACTTGATTCCTAGCCGCTGACTGACTACAGCAAGAGGTAATATTATACACACTGCGTAGTAATACACACTTGAAGTCCAGTAACTAGGTAAGGCTTGGTTCTCAGGCTTTCCAGAGCCTGGAGGTGTGGGGGAGGGGAGCAAGTAGCCTAGATAGACCACTCCAGGTTGCGTAGACTCATCTGGTTACTAAGGCTCTTACCTTCTTACCCTGCACCATCTCTGGACAGATGGCTGTAATTCCCTTGGCAAGTCCTTACTGATACAGTTATGTCCTGGTGAGGGGAACCAGAACCACGGAGGAGGAGAAGCTTGTTCAGGTTTGAACACCTGGGGCCCCAGACAGACACTCTACGGATCTGAATTCAAGCCGTGGCCGCCCCATCCTCAGAAAAAGCCAAGGAAGAGGTTGCTGCTGTCTTGGGCAGAAAAAGGCCTTCACAGCGCCCTGCTGACCTACACTTAGCACTCCCCACAGCCTGGATCCAGAAAGCGGCTGGTTATTTGGACTGCCACAGCTGTAGAGGCTGCATAGACACACCTTGAAAATACAGGGAGCCCCAGTGGACTGCTAGGCTCTCAGAGCCTGGCTAGGACAGAGCCTCTGATGGGTTAAAGGGGACCAGGACTCTGCCCACCCTCACCCTAGGAACCAGATGGTCCCTAGGGACCTGCAGACTCTGCCAGCCTGGCCTTGGCACCAGATCTTCTGGCCAGCCTCCTGAAGTCACTGTTCCTGTGTCTGCACTGACCAGACAGCGAAGCTCTCTTTAGTGACTGCACTTCTCAGCTCACATCCATTTTGAATTGCTATCAACTTAATCCTAAGAATAATTTAGTTTTTGTGAGAATTGGGGTTCTCCTGTTACTCCACCTCCCTTTTATCCCTGTTTCCACATTTCCTCCTTTCTGTACCTAAATCAGCTTTGTGTTGTTGATTTTGATGCAAGGTTTCTCTGTGTAGCTCTGGCTCTCTGTAGACCATGCTGGCCTCGAACCCTGAGACCCACCTGCCTCTACCTCCCGAGTGCTGCGATTAAAGGTGTGTGCCACTCCCCACTGGCTAAATTAGTTTTTGAAAAAAAAGGTAGAATTTACCAGTCTTCTCATATAAACAGCAAAAACCAAACAGATCCCTGCAGTCTCGGGCTGGCCGGCTCAACGGCAGTAGACTATGACCACAAGGGGGCGCACCGAAGTCAACACCATCTTGGCCCACACAGTAAAGAGAAATTATTTGTGTTAGCGGCAGCCACCCAAGAAAGGACAGAAGCTTAATAGACTTCTTTGAACAGAAATGTCAGGAAGTGGTGTCCAGCACAGTGGCAGGAAGGATACCTGGCAGTCCTTTGCTCAGCCCTCCCTCCCTCATAGAAAGCAGAAGTTAGCAGTAGTGTTTCAGGATGATCTTAACCCCCCTCCCCCAGCCTGCATGTGGTCAGCCGCCATTACTGTAGTTCCTCAAGCAGAAGACTGGGGGATCAGATTATATGCCAGCTATTTTCCTCAACACTGATTCAGGTACAGAAAATAGTAAAGTCGCTGAATCACAAATGTCTCCCTGTCCTTTCAGGTCAGTACTGGGGGCAAGGACATGAATGCCACCACATAGCTGGGCAGGGCATGAGATGGTGAGAAGTGACAGATGTCACATGGTCGTGAGTTAATGAAGTGGACATCTTCAGAGAGCCTGTAGGAGCCAGGCGCAGCACTCTCAGCTCAAAGAGTCAAACCCGAGAAAAATGCAAACCCTAACCTCAAGAAGAGTATGACAGGAGATAAGTCACATTACAAACAGCCTGGGGAGCAATGGTGGCACTTGCCTTGAGTCCCAGCACTCAGGAGGCAGAGACAGAATCTCTGTGAGCCTGGTCTACGAAGTCTCCAAAATAAACAACCCTGTCTCTAAAAAACAAACAACAGGGCTGGAGAGATGGTTCAGAGGTTAAGAGCACTGGCTGTTCTTCCAGAGGTCCTTAGTTCAATTCCCAGCACCCACACGGTGGCTCAAAACCATCCATAATGAAATCTGGTTCTCTCTTCAGGATACTTTGGAGAAGTTGGTGCATGTTCCAGAGAGAAGCCCATTGTAACTGCTGTACAGAAGTCCCCTGTGGTGAGGCTATGACTACAATCATAGCCCTTGGGGAGGCTAGAGCAGGACTGCCATGATTTTGAGACTAGCCATGGGAACATACCAGGCCAGCTAGGAATGCATAGCAAGAACCATCTTGGTGAATTCTGAACACTCTTCTGAAAAGCAGGGACCTCCACTCCTAGGCCAGTTTCCCGAAGCCACACTGGGATGGGTTGGAGGAAAACTCAGGAGATAGCCTGCAGGAGCAGGTGAAGAGGGTATAGGAAGAAATACAGGTTCTCTGGGCACTGCCAGTGCTGAAGAAAGCTGATAGGCCTCTCCGAGTTCCGGGCAAGAGGAAGTCAGTGGAGCTCAGGGAAAGCAGAAGAGACCAGCTTGTCACAGTCAGGGAATAGGCAGTTTGAACCAGACAGCAAAGAGAGGCTCAGGCATAGTTTGACAAAATAATCATAGACTTCAGTGCCCAGTACAACGATACATTTAACTCCCAACACACTATCAAACTTGACCTTATTAAGAACTGAAAACAGCCGGGCGTTGGTGGCGCAAACCTTTAATCACAGCACTAGGGAGGCGGAGGCAGGCAGATCTCTGTTAGAGGCCAGCCTGGTCTACAGGACAAGTTCCAAGACAGTCAGGGCTACATAGAGAAACCCTGCCTGGAGCGCATGCCTTTAATGCCAGCAGAGGCAGGTGGGTATCTGTATTTGAGGCCAGCTTGGTCTACAAAGTTTCAGGGCAGCCAGTTATACAGAGATACCCTGTCTCAAAAACCAAACCAAGACGAACAAAGGAGAAGAAAAGCCACTACCAATGAGGCCTGAAGCCTTCACTTAAATCAACCGTTCTCAGCCTGTGGGTTGAGACCCCTTTAGAGATCAAACAACCCTTTTACAGGGATTGCTTAAGACCACTGAAAAACACACACATTTACATTATGATTCCTAACAGCAGCAAAATGATAGTTATGAAATAGCAATGAAAATAATTTTATGGTTAGGGGTCACCACATGAGGAACTGTATTAAAGGGTCTTAGCATTAGGAAGGTTGAGAACCACTGGTTTAAATGAAGTTTCTGTGAAAAAGGAAGTCCTAAAAGTAGGGCCAACCCTGTAGTCATCAGTAGTCAAAGACCAGCAAACACTCTGGACCAGGAGGCCAAAGCTCCTGCATTTCTGGGAAAAGCCAGAGACACCTCCCAGGGCTGGGGCACTCGTCTCTCATCTCCACTCACACAGCCAATCCTGAGCTGGAGTAACCGTGGTAATGTCCCCTCCACTGAGACGATCTCACTCACATCCCACATAAACCCACCCTTCTTCCTACCACAGTGTGGTTGGAAAAAGGGAAGGTCCAACCCCAACATGAGGACACATAGGACCCTTGTTCTCCAGGAAGTCTGGCAGCCTGGGCTTTGGTGTCAGGGCCTGGAGCCAAGGTAAGGGAGAACTCAGGCCTCAGCCTTTTCCTGCCCAGGGATGCGGGAGAACAGCCAGAAGCTGGGGGTGGTATTGGCCGGTTTGGCAGAGTTCATTCCAGGGGCTGAGGACAGCATTGTGGAGGAGGGGAGGGTAGCAGTGAAGACAGAGACCTGAAGCTGCTTCCACTGATAAGAAAGTAAGAAGGAGGGGCTGGCGTGTAGCTCAGTTAGAGTGCGTGCCTAGCGTGCACAGAGCCCTGGATTCAGTCCCTAGATCCAGGACATGATGGTACACACCTGCAGTACCAGCACTTGAGGTAAGGCAGGAGGAACAGTTCAAGGTCACCCTCTTGTCAAAAAAAAAAAAAAAAAAAAAAGAGAAGAAAAACTTGGACTTTTTAGATCTGGGCCACAGTCTGGGGGCACTGGAGTCTCTGAGGCTAAAGAGACTCCACCTCCCCTATACCCAGGTCCAACCTTGCGTCATGTTCAAGTCCTAGACTCAGGCTGCCAGTCTTCCTCTCCAAGGGGTTAAGCCTCGGGAGGACACAGGGAACTGTGGAGGAAAGCAAAGCAAAACAAAACAAAAAAGCCAAAAGTTTATTTAATCCGAGAGCCTCTGAAGGCACCTGGTTTCTGTCAGTATAAAAAGGCAGTAAAATGACAAGGAACGGGGACAAGGAGAACAGGCATAGAAGGAAGGAGAAGGAACATCAACAGATCACATGATACACCAGTCAGCCCCCCACCCCCACCCCATCCTTGTGAGAAGCAGATAGATGGCTCTTCTGGAGCTCTCTCAGCCTAGGAGCGCCGTGTACTTGCTTTAAGCAGGGACAGTCAGAGCTTTCCATGAGAGAATGTGCCTCCTTGCCATTCTGATCCCTCAATCCCAAGTCCATCCGAAGAGGCTCCCTCCCTGGGGCCCAGCACAGGCCAGAAGAAAGCCAAGGTCAGCCAGAAGAGCAAACCTCTGGACCCCACTCATCCCAGGCAGGGATGAAAACGAGCAGGAAGCGGGCAGGCAGTGCAGTCTGTCTGTCCCTACATGGTCACCCAAGTGCCCGTAACAGGAAGGACAATACAGCTCCCAGAGCCAGGCCCAGACAAAGAAAGAAAGACATGATGTTTCCCGCTGTCTCCGCCTCAGCTGGCTTGACTTTCCTAAAAGGAAGGCAGGGAGATTTTAGGAGAGCCCAACCCAGCTCAGCCCCATCCCCCACGCATAAAATCCTAAACTCCCAATCCCGGCACACTGCTTGTGGAAACGGCACACTGCTTGTGGAAACGTGTCTCGGGCAACCTCTGCCCTGTCTCCCACAACACAACTCAGCATGAGCACACTTGAAGCCGTTACCTACACTGCCCATCACTGCCCACCACGACCCCAAGCCAGGCATTTTGCCACAACCAGCTCCTTGCAGCTTTGAGATGAAGGACTCTCTTACTGCCATTTCCCTCTACTGGGGAACATCCTGGAACTCTTAATTAAATTAATCCCTCCTGATGCCACCAAATTCCCTCCTGGCCCCACTCACTTGGGCCCGAAGCACATGCAGAGGCTGGCAAGGTAGCCGTTGGAGAAGGCAAAGGCAGCCATGAAGATGATGAACCAGGCGTCGTGGGTAAAGATGGAACGCAAGTAGTAGCGATGTTTCACTTTGCATAGCAAAAGCAGGGGAATAAACACGATCCTGGAGACCACCAAAACTGGCAACCAGAGGCTATCCTTACCAGGCTGCAAGGAACAGGCAATGGCCCAGCCCATATCAATACCCACTGTCTACTCAGGGGCCCCAGGGACTTGGATAAAACCTCAAGGCCTGGTTAACTTTGGGGAATGCTAATTGCCAGAGGTACAGTGGAGCCTATGGGATACTGATTTTTTTCTTCCTTCCTTCCTTCCTTCCTTCCTTCCTTCCTTCCTTCCTTCCTTCCTTCCTTCCTTCCTTCCAGACAAATTCTCACTTATCCCAGGCTGGCCTCAAGTTCACTGTGTAGCCAAGATTGACCTGGAACTTCTGATCCTCCTGTTTCTAGCTCCCAAGTGCTGGGATTTCAGGTATGCACTACCATAGTTGACATATGAGCTGTTCTGGGTCAAACTCAGGGGTTCATGAAGTATTCGAGGCAAGCAGTCTTATCTACTAAGCAACACCCCCAGTCCTAAATACTGGAATGCATATTTTGGTCTGGGTAGATACATGTGCAGGCACATACATGACCCTGCCAAGTTACACACCTAAGAACTGTACATGTAGGCTGGAGAGATGGCTCAGCAGTTAAGAGTGAATACTGCTCTTGCAGAAGACCCAGGTTCAATTCCCAGCACCCACACCAAGCAGCTCACAACCTCCTGTAACTCCAGCTCCAGGGGCTCTGTTGGCCTCTCTGGCCTCTGTGGGCACCTGCACTCACATGCACACACCCCACATACACTGGGTACCTGGACCGTGGTGGCACATGCCCTTGGGAAGCAAAGGCAGATGAATGTTTGAGGACAACCTGATCTACAATAGCAAGTCCAAGGACAACTAGGGTTACCTAGTGAGAGCCTGTCCCAGAAAAAAAAAAAAAAAAGTAACAATACAAATTTAAAAATAAAAACAGGAACTATATACATAGTTAAACATAAGTTATGTATAGATTTGAAAGAGACAGTTCCCTTCCCACTGTATTTTTTTCCCCTTCCTACAGGGTTACAGATGGAACCCAGGGGTCATGGACATTAGGCAAGCCAAACCAGAGAGCCAAACTCCCAGCACTACCCACCATTATACTTTCTGGGGGTCCCTCCTGGCCTCAGTTGGACACTTTGAGTCTACACGCCCCACAGCCCATATTCTACTCACCCACATGCAAATAGCTGTGAGACTCCGGCCTAGCCAGTCAAAGACATTGAAATTTAAGAAACAAGCCACAGGAATGAAGTAGTAGCTCTCTGGAAGAGGAAAAGAGAGACTTAGATACAATACCTGGCCCTCTCTGGGCCTCGGCCTCCTCACTCTACAACAAAGAGATGTTTCCAGCCAATGGCAGGGCAAATAGGCCCATGAAGATCCATCTGGGCAGAAGGGTCCCCAGGCTGCCCATGCTCCACCCCTGGTCCCACTCTAGACACTGGCTGAATCTGTCCCGGAAGCTGGAGCCCTTACTCCAGGCACTGGTGCCGGCAATGCTGGATTCAACCTCAGTAGTCACAGCAGGGAACAACCCAATGGTGACAGTGAAAATGAAGCAGACGGACAAAGCCAGGACTGAGATCTGGAGAGAGAGAAAAGAGATTCCATCCAGGTTTCTAGTTGTCATGGTGACTAGGTACAAAAGACCAAAAAGCCAGACAGTGGAGGCCTTTAATCCCAGCACTTGGGAGTCAAGGGCAGGTGGATCTGAGTTCAAGGCCAGCCTAGTCTGCTACAGAGTGAGTTCCATGACAGCCAGGGCTACACAGTGAAACCGTTTTGAATCCCCCCCAAAAAGATCAAAGAATTCTACACACACACACACACACACACACACACACACACACACAGAGCATTCACAGGAAGGAAGACAGAAGAAAGCTCCATCTTAGGTCAGAAAGGGGGCAGCACACCCCAGCCCCACATACATTCTTAAGTATAGCCTTGATAGAGTGGTTTTTGCTGCTGGGTGGAGAGCTGCGAGCTGGTACCCCGGATTCCTCTCTTCCTCCTCTTGGTTCCTCTCCTGCTGGGTGAGAGGTTAGAGAAGGATCTGTAAGTTTTCAGGAGGACAAAGCAATTGGAAAATTGAGCTAGAGGTGGACACCTTCCTTAACTGGCTGGTCCACGGTTATACCCTGACACCCAAGGACCTAAATGCCCTCGATTCAAGCCCCTGGGAGCTACCCTTCCCCCAGGAGCTCTTGTTACTCTCTGTTCCCTCTGAAACTGCTACCTCTGTACAAATGCCCAAGACATTCAGGGTAATCCAAGTTCTCCTATATTCCTTATTGAGACAAGGTTTTATGTAGTTCCAGCTGGCCTTGAACTCACTGTATAGCCAAGGATGACCTTGAATTTCTGATTCTCCTGCCTCTACTTCTCAAATGTGGAGGTTACATGTGTACCACCTTGGCCAGAGCAGGAATCAACTCAGGGCTTTGAGCAAACTAACCAACTCGGCAAAATTCTAAGTCCCCTAAGGTCTCCATGTGTCTTTGCCAGCTCTTAGTCCTATGTTACCCCACCTTCCTCGTGGTCACTGTCCTCCTTTGGCTCATAGCTGCCAGTTAATACAACGTACCCACACCTGCTCCCCCCAGACTTCCTTTAGTAGTTAAGACCTTTACTGATAAGATCCAACTTGGTCTCCTGGTCAGAGGGCCCCTCAAGGTTCAGCTGTAGGTAATACCGATAGAATTCCTGTTCAGCAAGGGAGATGGGGAAAGAAGTAGTGTCAGGGGCATCTCCAGAACCCCAATTTGCCATGTTTCAATTTCAGGACACCCCTGCTTTGAAACCCTGGGCCCTCCCTCATCCCCAAAGCCAACTTCCTCCATTTGCTCACCAGCCGAGGCAGAGCCAGGTAACACACTATGGCCAAGATGACAAATACACAGGCTGTGATAAAATAGCCAAAGGCACTTTCTGACAGCTTGGAGCCACCTGGGGCAGACAGTGGACAAGATCAGACATACTCCACCACTCTAAATCACCCTGTCCTGCCTCCCCACAACCAGCAAGTGGGGCAGTAGGACTCACTGGCAATGGCACAGATCATGGCCACAGAGGTGAAGAAGCCAGCCAGGCCCTGGCCACTCATGATGGGGGCTGTGTAGTTGGCAGGCAGGACGCCAGCCAGACCAAAGAGGCTGGCTTGCAAAACGGCACCAAATGCTGTGGAACAGTGTAGACAGCATGTCAGCAAGGACAAGCAGCTCCCAGGGAGCCTTAACCCGAACTGCCCTTATCTCTGCCCCAACTCCCAACCCGGGCCCAGAGCTCCCCACACCCTGTCCCCCAATTACAGTTAATGAGCACGATCTTGATCATGGTGATGATGAAGAAAGTCAGGGCATCCACCTCCACTTTCACCAAGATGGCAGTGATGAGGAACACCAGCAGGATGGCCACCAGGCTGCCCAGGATCCGAACAGACTGAGAGATCCTGTGTGTGTGGGGGGGGAGGGTCAGGAAGGGCCTGAGTGGAAGGGGGGGCAGCCTGGGGCAGCCTGGGTGGGAAGGCTCACCTCTGATGCAGAAAAGAGTTGAGGCAGGTGAAGAGCAGCAGGGGCAACATGGCACACAAAGTCATGACATTGCTGAAGATGGCACTGAGAGGACTTCGCTCTGGCAAGGTCACTGTGGGGGCAGGCAAGGCCTCGGTGTCCTTGCTTGGTTTGTCAGTGGCTGAGGACACATTCTGGTACAGGTCCAGGCGGTTTGTGAAATACTGTGGGATTTTCAGAGGTTGAGTGCTGGAACCTGCTCCCCTGTGCCCAGAGGCACAGAGTCAGGCCTTGAAAGCCTAGGGGACATGTCCTCTAGAACCTAGTGCCTCCCCCGGTCCCAGCCTCACCTGAGTTGCTGTCATGAAAAAATTCCAGGGGAGCAATGTCCCCAGGCCCAGCATGAAGAAGATGAGCCATACTGCCTTATACCTGGATAGGAAAAAGGCAAAAGTAACCTACCAGCCCACCCTTCCTCCCTCCCAGTCTTCCCAGCTGTCCTAGCTCTGTGTGTCCATGTGCACACGTGTCCTTCTATGAAGGCGTATGGCGATGTGTGCTCCTAAGGTATAGTGCAGGATGTTAGATGGGTCAAAGGAGAAGAGCACAGTTCTGGATGACATGGGTGACAGAAGGCCTTTGGGCTGGGAAGCAGTGGGACCCTCAGATTCAGCAATGGTTTTGGAACTTTGCTAAAGGGCTGGTGGGTAGATAAAAGAATGAACACAAGCCTCTCCCATCCCACCACATAGGCTGGAAGTCATTAGGCAGTCTAAGCAGGAACTCAGGAGTTCCTGAAGGACTCTGAAGTTAAGAAACATCCAGACCATTCTGGACCCAGTGGGACAGATGAGCTGGGTGCCTGAGGGGGCTGGGAAGTAGGGAGCTATAATATCTTTTTCCCCCTCAGCAGACAGAACCAGTTTTGTAGGCCAAACTACCCAGGGTAGGGCAGGGCAAGGCAGGACAGGCAGACTAAGGCCTATGGATGCCATCTGGTCCTGAGCGCAACAGCATAGAGCCAGTGACTCTGGATAGTACTTGCCTATACGCTTAGCAACCCCAGTCCCTGCCCTTAGCCAACGCCCTCGTACTTCAGAGATGGTGGCGAGGAGGCTTGACACAGTGAGACAGGTCTGGCCAGGGAAACAGGAGCTTAGCTCTTTGCAAGCCTTAAGCAGGAATGCCAGAGGAAGTAACCCAAGTGGGCAGGTCTGAGCCATGACCACCACAGGCTTCAAACTTTCCCCTTGAGGTCAAGATTCTCAAGGCTTGGTCCAGAGGAAGGCAAAATTCCAAGGGAAGGCTATGCAGGACAGGAGGGCAGAGGGGGGACTAGGGATCCAGGCAGCAGTGTAATAAAATGGGCAGGATGTTAAGGGGCTGGCCCGGGGCACCAGGAAGCCTGGGAAGTAAATGAGGCAGGAAACTGGGCCCTACACTTAAAATCCCCACCTGCCCCCTGGGAAAGTTGCAGAAGGCGGACACCAGATTTTTCAGGTGGGGAATGGACTCAGAAAGATGAAGCTAACCAGTCAGAATGGGCCTAGTTACATAGCCTTTGGCATAGGGGGGAAATTGTGGGAAGAGGAGCTGGGAGGGGCCAAAGACCCAAAGGACAAGGTGGGCATTTGGAAGGAGTGGTAGCACAGCTTCATCAACTTTCACAAGCCTTAGCCCCTTCTAGAGAACTCAAGAGCCTCTTCCCTCGTAACACACATTCCCGGCCCTAACCAGCTTGAGGAAGTTCAAGGGGGCCAGAGACAGGAGGCTAGAAGGGTCAGGCCAAAGAGCAGGGTGGGTGGGCTGAGGAAGAGGCCCTAGGGCAACCCCCAGGGACAGGGCAGTCCTTCCAGATGTGTTTTGGAATGAGGGAGGCAGCCAAGTATCTCCCCACAGTGGTGGTGGGAGGAGCCAGCAGCTGCTGTCTAGCTGCAGAGCCTCAGTGGAAACACTGACACAATCCAGCAGGGGACTGCTGCCCACCTAGCCCTGCAGGCACACTAGCCAGCTCCTGGCCAAGGTATGCAAGTTCCCCACCCCACCCGGATGCAGACCTGACTCAGAATCACCAGCCTGGGAGCAGTTAGCAGTGAGATAACTTCAAGTCCAAATATTGCACCTACCCCAACCCCTACCCTAGACACCCATTCCCTAAGATTCCCAGACCAGCTCCCCTCCCCACCTCCTCCCTAGTACCTGTCCTGAGGCTGGTGGCTGGTTGTCATGGTTCCAGTGTTGTCGGTTGTGCCTGGCTGGCAGCTCCCTCCCTCTGGCTTTTTCTGGGGTAAAGGAATATTGAGGCCCTGTCTGGCTCTGCTTCCACACTGCCCCAGGCCCTTCTCAGACTCTTGGGGGTAGGGCCAGGCACACAGCACAGACAAGGGAAGGCCCCTTATGAACCTCTGTAGGCTCAGGACCACTCAACCCAGCCCCACCTGGCCTTTGGCCCCAGTAAGCCAGATCTGTGGTCTCTGCCTGATTGGACTGCACCTGGCTGCCGGCCTGGCCGCTGCCACCGCTATTTTTATCCAACAGCAGACGCAGTTTATAAGCTTGGAAACCGAAGGGTGGGGATCAGGAGAGGAGGAGGCATGATTGAGAGGCGGGGAAAGAGAGCCAAAGACAGAAGAGAGATGAAGGAGGCCAGGGGCAGTGATGACAGTGGACTGAGAGAGAGGACCCGGAGGCAAAGGGAAGGACACAGAGCAGAGGGGAAAGGAAGGAGAGTGTGAAACAGCAAACAGATCTTCAGGAACTTAGGTCCCCTAGGGCCTGCTGTAAGTCTGTCTGCCTTCTCACTCTCCAGGGCCCCCAATCCCACCCAATCAAGGCTGGGAGGGGGGGAACGGATGGACGGAAGGGACACATGGACACACACAGACCAGACACAATGGATGGACCTTCCCATTCAGTTCCCTAGAATAACCAGGACTCAAGATTCTGCTGTCAGTATCTAAGCTTTTCGTTCCAACCACTCACTGCCTAGGGGCGTCCTGAATTCCTCGACCAGTTTTCCAAGAATATATTTCATAATGATGGGAGGGAATAAGCCTTTTCCACAGCCTAGCATGTATGTTCCTTTTTTTGACCCAAGTCCTGACCCCAGGGCCACCCCATCCCCTCTCAGTTCCTTTCCCAGTCCCAGGCCACTATCCTCTTCTCCTTTGTGACAGTGGCCTTGAAGGGAAGTGTGGCATACAGGCCCTAACAGGGTGTTCATTCCCAAGCTTCTGGCCACCCCTCAGCATCTCTCTCAGGGCCCACTCACAAAGAACAGACACCCAGCACCAGCAGGCTAAGCAGTTCTGCAGCAGGGGAGCAGGACCAGAATATACAAGGCACTCCCTCATATGGACCCGCTCAGACTGCTACTTCTTGCCTAGGGCAGGCTGCTCCTGTCTCATGTCTCATCACTCACCGGATTCGTAGACTCAAAGTGGGCAGTAGGGCTGCAGCCAAAGGAACCCGGGTAGTCCCCAGGAGGGAGTCCTAGCTCAGGCTCAGGCAGAAAGCTGGGTCCTGGGTGAGGGTCCAGAGTGAAAAAGTGGCAAAGGCTTGTCAGGGGAGAATCCCTCAGGCCTCGAGGGGCCCCATTCCGAGGGGCCCCATTCCGTAGTCTCACAAGCTAAGTAGCTGCAGAAGCTGGAAGCACTAGCAAAGCTGGGAGAGATAAAGAGTCACCCTGTAGCTTCAAGATAAGACAGCAGAAGACTCAGCGGGGGAGCTAAGCATGAGGTGGCCAGGTCTGCTCTCAGGTGCAGCTAGCACTTGCAGCCCCGCCCACCCAGACAAAGAGTCACAGCTGATCACCCGTGGCCTTGCAACAGCTTTTACCCTTCTATTGGTAAACCTCAGACTGTCCAAAGGTCTTCTCAGTCCTAGGCAGCAAACTCACACACCTCCTGATGAGGCAGAAGGCTCCTTCCAATGGTTCCAAGAAGTAGTTCCTGAAGGTCTCTGTGTGTCAGCCAGGCACCGTTCTAGGCACAGGGACAGAGTGGTAAGCAGCAGTATTGCTACTTTCTCCTAGGACAAGAAGGCTCTGCTGGGGGGCTGAGGAAAGCCTGAGATCTCAGGTCTCTATTTGACTGGAAAGGGACCCCCGTCACATACAGTCCTCAGCACAGCCACTCCACCCCTCCCATACACCAGGAGAATGAGTGTAGCCTCAAGCCAGACAGGACAGGGGTACACGCTTCCTTCAGAAAACTGGCCTAGACTTGGAGCTTGGAGAAGTATTTATTCACACACACACACACACACACACACACACACACACACACACGATCCCCACCCCACTCCTGGGCACCAGTTAAAGCCACGGACAGACCTTGGGTCCTGCCCACATAGCTAATTCCATTCACAGTTCAGGTGCTTTGTTTTTGCCTGTTCAGTGATCTGATAAGCAGTTTGGGGATTCTGGTGTCATTTCAACCATGCCTTGACCTGTGCAGGTGGTGCCCTGAAAGCAACCACCAATCTGAGCCCTTCCATGTCCCAGGGTCCCAACACCGCGCACATATCTGTTTCTCCACGAAACTCGTGCTACATCAGTCTTTCTTTAGTTGCAGTATGCAGACAACCCTTTTCCAGCTGCCCAGAAGCTAGTACTAGACAGCTTCTACTAGACAAGGCCAACTGAGGTTCAGACAGGCTGCAGCACTTGACAAAAGCTGCAGAGACAGTGGGTGAGGGAACCAGCATGAATACTCAATGTATATATTATTGTAGATTTCTTCTGGGGTGGGGAAGGAGAAATTAAAACGGCTCCCCAGCTAGCCCTGTAGACTTCGAGGAGGGGAATTCTGCTCCAACTAAAGGGTTAAAACAAGTTGGGCGATCCGGGTCATTCTCGGGGCCCCAAATAACATTAGTTTCATGTTCAAGGCACCTCACAGCCATCCCATGACACATACATTATCGCATGCAAAGGTCACACAGGCAGGACATGGGAGGGGGGTGATCAAGAAGAGGGGGCACTAGGTTGGAAAGAGGGCTGGAGTGGGGTGGGGTGCAGGGGTGGAATAAGCCTTCCTCCACCGGGAGCCTGGGTGTGCGCGTCCTCGTCCTGTCACTCATTCACTCTCCGTGTTAAGTAAATGAGGACGCGCCCGAGAAAGGGAGGCCAACGACAGGCGTTTACCTGGTGAAGGAGCAGCACCCCCGCCTTCCTACGAACACCCGAATCCCTATCCTCCTTGCCTCGGGACAGAAGGCAACGCGGCCCCTCTCTGCTTCAAACAGGAGCGGTCGGTCACATTGAACCGCGCTCACTTGCCGACCCTCTGAGGAGGTCAGCTTGGTGACAGTGGCTTTCAGGTCGAGAAGGCAGGCTTCACCCGGGTCCCCACAGAAGGACCACCCCCAAACCCAGAGCCAGACCCATGC